GCCTCAAAAAATTAAAATTAAAATTAAAAAAACAACAACAGAGTTTGTAAGAGCCCATTTGCATGCTCTGTGGCCTCTGGTGTTCCCTGTGTGGCCTGGGGAATGGTAATATACAGCAATTTCGCAAGATGAAGGGCAGGGGACAATATATTCCCACAAAAGCAAGGCCTCAGAGTCATCTTGAACATCTCATAGCAGTATGCGCTCACTGTCCCCAAGAGGGAGGTGGGCCTCTTGCCCATGCACAGTTCTGTCTGGACATAGCATTTGTCACCCAACCATAATACCTGTTGGAGACAGGACCTTTCCAGCCATGAGAGAACACAATGGTGGTGGAGTTTATGATGGCCTATGTCACAGTGGTCACTGGTTGGCTGCCCTGCTCTTCAGTGCACTGAAGGGTATCCCTGCCTGATACCTTCCATGACACCTGGGAGTCCTCTGTCTTCCAAGACCGTGCCCTCCCGGACAGCACTGCTGTCTAGGGAGTCAGTTGTAGTTGGTGTTTGTCTTCTGAACCTGTGGTACTTTTGATGGATCACCCATAGGCAGTTTCCCCTTAGGCTACTTATAGTCACTCTGCCTGGGCCCCATCACAGAAAAAACAATTTAGGGGTCCCATTTGGTCCCAACTCAGAAGGAACCTATTGTGGTCTAGGTCAAAACACACAGCACAGCAGGGCATCCTGCTAGGGGAGGAGGGCACCTTCCTGGCTCTCAACTCATTCATGATGACCCTTATCCTCCAGCTTTACCTGGACACTGTGCTGACCCTCAGGCACACGTAGAACTATCCAGTAGGCCTGGAGAGGAGAGCAGTTGAAGACTAACCAAGTTTTTACTGCCCATCCTGATACCAGCAGAGTTCATTTGAGCAGCAGTTGTTTCTCTAGCACTTTCTAAGATTTCACACTCAAGGAAACCATAAGTACAGGCCTACTTTCCATATTTGCTGGGTCATCTGGGAACAGAAAAGTCTAACCATAATGGCCAAGAAGTCAGGCCAGGCCACTTGGAAGGGACAAGTATGGGTAAGTGAGACAGTAGCAAGGGAGAAATGGCTAGGTCAGGATGCCTGGGAACTGAGAATGTGCAGCCACACTTGCAGGGTGGTTAATAGGGCATTGGCCTTAAGTTGACTAGGGTGGTTGTTGTGCCCAGATCATAGAGACCCCAGAAGTCCACCAGTGAACCGATCAAATGCAAATGCATGAGGGTTGTTTTAGTCAAGCTCAAGCAGGGCTCAAAACCATCACCGGTGCAGCAGGTCAGGATTGAGACTGCTGAGCTCTAAATCAACAGAATTTTTATTGAGGTTACAGCAAGGTTGGGGGAATTCCAGCTTGGCAGTTTTACGATTGACTGACACTTAGCAAATATCGGGTGATAAAACTCGATTGATTGTGTCCTGCAGGCCAAACCATAATTGTTTTATTCAACTTAATGTGAAGAACACCTGGGTAAACTTCAGGTTTTCAGTGATTAGCCATTGCTAGGGGTGATGGTTAAATATTACCAGAGGTGAGTGGTCGAAGCATATTTTTGTGGATTTTTCTCCTTCTTTGAAACTGGAGTTCACGCCCAGGACATTTACCCTTAAGACGGAGTTTCTTTTTCAGAATCAGGTTACACAGACCTCACATGGTTTTGTGGGAAGAGCAGATAGAAGTCTTGCATGGGGCTCTGGACTGTTCATGGCACTCCTCATCATGCCCATGTTGGTTTCCAGTATCAGCAGGTGCCAAGCTCCCTGAGACACTTGGTACCTGTGTCTATTTAGGTCTTCACACCTAGCTACAGAGGGTTTCAACCCAGAACTAGGCCCCGAAGCCTGTGCTCCTCATTGTCACGGCCCTCCTGACACTCATGCATGTCTGGAGAGAGAACAGTGCTGCTTATGACAGACCCAGGACCTGGCCCTCATGTCCTGGTTGCTACTATGGGGTGACAGGCAGGTGACTGGCCACTTGTAGTCAGATGCCCATTGAGAAAAGTTCAGATCCCTGTGCTTTAGAAAAGCAGGCCACATTTCCTTCTTCCCTGTGGCAGAACAGCAGAATCAGCACCTAGAAGGCTAAGGTGTGGCTTTGTGGAGGGCATTGCTTAGTGTGCACAAAACCCTGGGCCGCAAGGAAAAGAAAAGTTTAGAGTAGAGCCCAAGAAACTGCCACAGGCTAATGACCACAGTGCACTCATCCACACAGCAGCCACAGCAGAGCCCAAGTGACAGCCCTCCCAGAGCCACAAATGTGACAGGGCCTGACCTTTTGCCAAGCCAATCTCCATGAAGCAGCATAGAGAAGCTCAGTGATGTGCCATTGGCATGAGAAACAGGAGGCATTACGGGGCATATTTTCCACTTGCAAAATTAACAAATAAATTTGTTAATTTTGTTAATCTCTCTCTCTCTCTCTCTCTCTCTCTCACACACACACACACACACACACACACACACACACACACACACACACTGCAATAGGTAGTTCTAGAGAGATGTTCTGAACAACAACAAAAGTTGCTTCCTGAGGCCAGAGCTGGGGCACACACATGCCATTTACTTCTGTGCTTTTCTGTTTAAATTGCTACACTTTCTGTGTTACCTATTCCCAGAAATCATGAAATAAAGTAACACATCTCAAAAGTATCTCGAGGCTGAAGAGGGGAGAGAGGAAACAAGCTCTTGGGCCATGTTTCCCTTGCCTCCTGAGGAAAGTGCAGAGGTCTTTTATGGGCCACCTTCTGTCTGAATGTTCTAATAGCCTCATTCTGGAAGGGAGCCAGGGAAGGAGGCTCTGAAGCCCTCACCACATTTAAGTGGAAGTAACCACGGTGAGCGGTGCAGGCAGAGTGGGTGGCCTTGCCTGCTCTGAGAGTTTCCTCTGATGGGCATGGGCTTCAGGTGAAGGCTGCGGGACTGGGCTTCCTACAGTGAGCTTTGCTCCTTGGGTGAGGCCTAGTCTGGAATGAAGACACTGGAATGTGCCACACAACTACTAGGAAAGCACTCTCAAGCGCCCAGTGCCCTCCTAGCATGACTTGCATGCCTCTTCTAGACAGACTCCAAAATCACTTCTCAATGTTCAGATAGTTTGCCAGCCCACCAGGAAGTCACCTTAACCCCAGCAATTGGTAGAACTGTTCTCGGATCAGTTGGTCCTTGTGTTTCCGGAACCGCCTGTGCTCCCTGGGCTTTTCAGCAAACTTGCATCTTGGCTTGAGCACTGTGTTTGAAGTGTGGTGGCTCTGGAGCACACTGGGGCTGAGAACTGTTGCTATTGTGAGTCCAGAACAGACCCTGGTGCTGGGGTCAGACCTCAAGTGTATCAGCTCAGCCTCCTCCTGCCTGATGCAGGGTGTTGTCTTGTGAGCCTGAAGGAGGCTAAGAGCTTGTGTGGACACAGCTAGCGCTGTCCTGAGAAAGCTGAGGAGCTTGAGAAATCATAGGAAGTGCCCAGTGGAGAGTGAGGAGGCTACAGGATTGCTCAGGACATACAATGTCAGGAGGCATTTAAGCACCCTCTTCCTGCCATGTGGAGTGGATGGCCCAGGGCACGTGGCCAGAGCCCAGGCTGAAGTTGTAAACCCAGAGGTGATGATCAGTACATGGACTTGCTGCTAGACCTCCAGAACTACAGGCTGAGGTAACATTGAAGCCTTTTGGAATGGAGGGACCGGGCTCAGCATCAGCTTTGTTATCACAGGAAGTGACATCACAGAGAGTCACCCACGTAAGGCTGGGATTAGGACATGTAGTCATGTTCCCCAGACTTTCTTGATTATTTTCTGTTTTCCAGCCCCATCCTAGGGTTGTTAGGATAGCAGGCAGGCACCGCTGCACCCACAGCAGCATTAGACTCTTCTGTAGAGGGGTCCCCTACATACCTCTCATACACACCTCTCATACACCTATTTTGGTACCCTGGCCGCTGTACCCATAAAGCCCTCTGTCACTATTGGCTAGGGCTTCCTCACTCTCTTTTGCTACCACCTCTGCCAGGAAGACCCTTGCTGGAGCTGACCTGTCCCCCTCATTTTCAACATGCTATCTTATGCACATCCTCCATGGCCTCTGCCTCCTCATCCTCTATAGAACTTGATGGGAAAAGGTTTGTGCCCCATCTTGAAGAGATATAGCTGAAGAGGACAGAGCCCATGATCTACTCAGAGTAGGGTTGAGTGTGCGAAGGGCTCCAGAGCCATGCATATATATGGAATGAACACATTTCCCTTGTGCTTTTCTGTGCATAGCATGCCATCCTTCTCCAACTTTGCCTTTAGTGGTAGCCACCCATTTCTCTCAAGTCAGTGAAGCAGGTTGTGTTAGTGTGGGCTGTCCTGGGAGGTGGATATTTAATGACTAGTGTCAGTGACTCCCCACTGGGCTAAGTGAAGGGGGAAAAAAGCTTTGAGACTGTATATCACATACATTCCTCTTCCCAGGGGAGCCTCAGGGGCTAAGAACAGGTCCATCTATGAACACCACATCTGCATTCATACCTGCAGCCTGGCTCTGGGCCCATTCATGCCACACAGCAGCTTTCCTCACAAGGCTGTGACCAGTGCCTTGGCCACCAAACACTGGCATGTGCCCTGACTGTCCTCTTGGAGAGATGCTAGCAGAGGTCCCTGGTGAACATCTCTGCACATCATTGCAGCCCTGGATGAAGGGATCTGGGAGGCATATTCTCTTTGGCCCTGGGATGAGGCTTTGCTAGGAGATGAGGGGAAACATGACGCATGAAGATGAAGAGTGCCTGGCTAGTTGACAGCCTCAAAACAGGCTCACGTACGGTGCCTTAAAGCTAGCCAAGGCACAGCCCAGGTTGGTGGTTAGTGGGCCTTCCAGGCTGTTTAAGACGTGGGATGATATGAATATCTGACCAGTTGGAGTGGCCAGGATTCTCTCTGTGATCTCTGCTGGTCTCGTGGGTGGCTCCTGTCCCTGCCTATGACATTAGCATTTAAACTATCACTTCATCACATCTCCTCTTGTCTTTCAGGGACATCACCCCACCTGGAGAACCACTGAACAAGAACAGTAGGCCTAAAGTAGCTTCTCGCTTCCCTAAGCTGTCCCGAGGCCACCCCAGGGAGATTCGCACTGTGGAGCCTCAAAGTGGTGACCTCTGACCTCAGTGGAATCTCTGTGTTCAACCTAGCCATGGCAGCTGGCCCTGGACACCTTGGCAGGATGGCCATGTCCCCAGAGAGAACACACCCTTCCTGCTGCCACATGCCACCCGATTAAACTGGTCAGTTTTAACTGCTGGGTCTCTGTCCTTAGAGCAAGGCATTGCTCACTGGACAGACACAGGTGGAGACACTGTCACTACCCCCAGGGTGGCCAGGTATGGTTCTCACCAACTCCAGTTCTGCCAGCAGGACAGTGGGTGTCAGGCTGCACCCAGACCCCTGGCTGAGATGCACGACACATAGGCAGGAGGGTCCTTCAGGTGTCGCCCATGACACTGTCCCCTGTGGGAACTAGAATGACTGTTACACTCTCGGATCTCCTGATCCAACTGCCTGCGCCTGTGGACGAGGCCTCCTTGCCCTTCCTCTTGCCCCTGTGGTGGTTAGACACCCAACAGCACTGCCACATGGCTGGTATGGATGTGATTTCTCCAGGTACATCATCTAGTGGCCTAGCAAAGGCATTGGCAGTGACTTTGGTCCTTGAAGAACTCATCTTTCCCTCCTTGTGCTGGCTCCAGGAAGCACCATTCATACAGGAAACCTGAGGCTGTCCCAGCAAGGACAGCCAGTCAGAGCTGAGGGGTCCACCATCCAGCACAGCCCTCAGCAGCAGCCTGGAAACCCTGAGGAGTACGTCCCTGGCTGTGACCTCAGGTCACCAGAGACTTGGCGCTAGGCATTATTACTGTGGAAGACCAGCCCTATAGGATCTCAGACCCAGTGCCAGAACCGAAAAGAGAATGATTGTCCCCTGAACATGTTTAGCACAAACTGTCCCTAACACACCTCAGTGGGAGCAGAATGCTGTGGCTCCCCAGGAGGACGTTCTACTATTGCTCTCATCTCAGGGCACTGTCTTAGAGCCCGGGGCTCTCAGGTATGGGGTAGAATAAGATCCAGCTGCTCTGCAGCTCTGCCTTCCTCTGCCACCAATCCTGGGTCCCTCTGACTCTCAGAACATACTGTCATGGTGTGTCTCACTAGGTCAGAACCTCCTTGCTGTCTTGGTACAGCTTAGAGGAGCCTGCAGAAAGGACCACGTACCAAGCAGTGTGCACTTCTCTACTTGCCAAGGAGTTTCCAGGGGCGGCTACCAAGGGGCAACTACCTAGGTTGCCCCTGAGCATGGGCTCAGAAGGGCTTCAGCTCAAAGCTAGACCTTGGCAAGTGATCCGGGGAAGCAGGGCTTTTCCCAGCCATGGAAACCTTGGGGAAAGTTCCCTAGAAGCCAGAAAGGAAATCAGAGTGCAGGGAGAGACCTGAACCGCTCCAATTCTAGAGGGCACCTCTGGCCAGGTGGGCTGTGCACAGGTAAGGCAGAACACAGCTGCCCTCCATCATGGCTGAAGAAGCAGTTTGCTGGGAAGGGAGGACCCAAGAGGCTTCTCGGCCCTAGAAAGCCAACATGGTTCCTTTCTTGTTTGCCTAAGATGCCACGGGCTCCACACAAACACCACACTCAGAGTATGGGCAACTGGACCTAGCAGCCAAAAAGGCCCCGTGAGGCTCTAGCAGCCCCAACTCCACCTCCTGAGCTGGGGAAGTCAGCACAGAGACACTTCAGATTCCATCCTGTTCTGTACGGAAAGGATCCTGCCACCTCCCACATCTCCAAAGCCCAGAGTCTCAAGTAACAGGCCCTGGGGACACCTGGTCCAAACCCATGCCACTAAGAGTCTGGGCTCTCTCCCTGTAAACACAGCACACAGAACCATCTTCACATTCAGACTCTGCAGCTAAAGCACAGGAAGGAGGGAGGGGGAAAGAAGGAAGGAAGGAATGAAGGAAGGAACAAAGACAGGCAGGCAAACATCCAGAGTAGATGCTTTGGTTTCCAAGGAATAATTGTGGGAAATTTGCCCAACTCTGCCATAATGTGAATATAAGAGAATGGTTCCAGGGGCCTTGTGGGACCTTTGGTTGTTTGCTATCTGTCTCCTACCCATTCCCTTGTTTCTCCATGTTGGGGACTGACACAAGGGCCTTGCAAGTGCTGGACAGAAGCTCTCCCCTAAGCCACACTCTAGCCCTGCCCACACTCTGTTTCCACAGAAACCCAGCAATCACTCTTGGCTCCAGATGGCCCATCTCATTACCTCACAATAGCATGTGATCCCCCTGGAAATTGGGCATAGCTGTGCAGGGCAGGGTTAGGTGGTGGAAGGCTATTCTCACAATGCTCCCCAGATCTGAGGCTCAGAGTCCAAGAGGAATGCAGAGCCATGGTCACCCAGTGAGTGTGACTATCCCCACCTCTACAGGATACTGCTTCCTAACCATGAACTTGACTGTGGCCCTGGCATTCTTGTGGCTGCTGAAACTTCATTCTTAGAAATGTTCTCCTGCCCTGAGGCCCATGTCATGGTGTTATAGGCCTTGGTTCCTGCTCCATCTACTCCAGCTCTGTATGTCTGTATAACCTCTAGACATAACTGGCCCCTCAGGAAATGCTGGGCCCTGTTCTCCAGGGTGTACCACCAGACTGCCTCACTTTAGCAGCCTGCACCTGCACACACCTTCCCAGTATGATCAGCTTTTGGGGTCCTTTGAGGCTTGGATCTAGGAGCAGTCTCAGCTGGGCGCCCTGCCCCTGCCCTGCTACATCGTTTGAGAGGCACACAAGAAGGAGCTGCCTCATGCCCATGGCAATAACAGTCCTGATTGCCCAACACCCCCACGTAGGGACATTGCCACCCAACCCCAGAGCCGCCCCCTGGCCTGGGAGCTGTCAGAAGGCAGGTTCCTCCTTACTAACAAGGTCTATTGTAATGAACATTCTTCAAATATTGTGCATTATTTCACTAAAGCTAGTATTAAATGTTTGCTGTTTAGGTTGGTTCTGCACTAACTTTGCACAACTGTAGCACTGTATTTTATCTAATGTTTCTGTGCCAAAAAGTTCAGCCCCTGTTGCTGACACATGTTCTCCATCATGTTTCTGAAGTAAAGTTTAGGTAGTGAATGGGAAGGCTAGAGTGCACAGTAGCAGTGCTGGAGTGGCTGCTGTGCTGAGGCCTTGGGTCCACATCTCACTGGGGCTGTGTTCTCCTGCCCTGAAGACATCTGCTCACCACCTGTTCCAGCTACTGCCTTTCCAGCCGCCATCTGCAACCTGCTCAGTTCTGCCCCCAACAGGGGGAGGCCACTTGACCACATGGAGGTTTGTCTGTCTCTGTGAGTTTTTTTTCATCAGGATGAATTGGAAAGCCCCAGAAAGAGTTGGGGCATAGGACAAGTGACAGTGTTTGCACAGGAGCCATAGGGTTACTCAACACCCGGGAAGAGAACCTGAGATCTGGGCCCTCCAGATGGGGTGAAGGCTCTGGCTGGCTGTCTCCATCCACCCTGGAAAGCTCTGTGGTTGCTACAGCCCTAAGCTGGAGCCTGTGGGTACAAACAGCCCAGAAGTCTGAGCATGTGGTATCCCGACTCCCCTCTTATGTTAAGGTTTACACAATAGAATTTTTAAACAAATATGTTTAATTTTCTAAAATCTCTTGTATTAAAATTTTCTTTTGAAATAAGCTGTGGATTTTGTTACAATCTGGTTGAGAGAAGCCTTTTCAGTGAGGGGATTAAAATGGCATTTTCTAAACTGGACCTCTTTTCTGTGCTTTTTTTTGTCTCTTACTGACAGTGGAGATTTCAATGAACTATGTACACATCACCAGAACACCTCTAAAGTTTAGAAGGTTCACGTATCACTTCAGGTGATATGATACACATCAAGATGTGGCTCAGCCATCAGCAGTTTGTTTGAATTAAACATTGACAATCACTTGTAGTATTAGACTGATCTTAGTCAAGTAGAATGTAGAATAAAAATCCCACACAGAAAAAAATCATCCATCCCCATCACAGGTTCCTGTCCACTCAGTCACGAAACAAGTAAGTGAAGGAGAGGTGTAAATTCCCTCTGACTCCTTCCCTGCATTTCTTATACGACTATACTTACCATTTTTCATGGGATCAGGGACCTCCAAGAAAGGTACAACTAGGCATCAGGGCAAGACCTGATTGCACAGGCTTTTGAATTTGTAAATGCAAGAGTGGCCAGGGTCACCCTGGGGGATCAACCAGACACTGCAGGACAGAGCCTTCTCTCGCTGGTCTGGCTCTGGGAAATCTGCCCCACCCCCACCCCCGTAGGTCAAAAGCACCAGAGGCTGATGTCCAGTAGCCAAGTTAGTCATTGGAGAAAGTGTGTGGTAGTGGCTTCTGGTCCAGAGTCCTGATGGTCTTTATGCTCTCAGCCACAGGCTTCAACTCCCAGCTCCTGGTCTTCAGTGAGTCCCAGAAGTGAGGGAACAATGAAACCATGAACTAGACCACTCAGTGGGTAGAAAGTAAGGTTTATTGGGGCTCAAACTGGCAAGGCCCTCTCTCAGAGTGTATGTGTGGTTGGGGAGAAGCAAAATGGGAGAAAAATCAAGTGGACTTTATGGTAGTCAGCAGGGTGGGGGGTCTTTGAGCTGATTCAGGCTGTTTGGATTAACAGGAATTAGATGTCCTTGCCTGATGTAGTTTCTTTGGAGATGGATTAAGTGGGATCCTGGTAAGCAGAAACCTGCCTGAAGAGACTCATGATGCTGAATTTAGGCTGCTGTGTACAGTAACGACCTTCTGTCTATGCAGTCAGAAGTCAGTTTAGGACACTGCCCTACCTTGGAACTAATAGATCCTAAGTAGCATCATCACCCCAGAAATGCTTTTGTGCAACCAGTCACTGTATCTGCTCCTGAAATCTATACTAGGATTTCCCCATACCCTCTCCTGGGCTGGGACTCTATTAAGAAACTCAGGGGCAGAGAGCATGGCAGCAGGAGCAGGAAGGGCCACACAACTCCACACAGCAGAATCACGGGCCTTGAAATTCCAGTGGGACCTTCTTAGGTGTGTGGAGCTGTGTGGCCCTTCCTCCTTCTACTAACTCCTTCTCTACCACAAGGTGTTGGCCTGAGGCTGCTTTTCCAGCTTCACTTGGGCCTTTCTCCCCTTACTTTGTTTGCCACAGCTTCCTGTTCAGGTGCCTGGGCATGCCACATCTTTATCATTCCTGGTGACCTAATGACCTGCTACTTACAATAGCACCATCACATAAGGCAGCCGTGAAATGGTGCAGAGTTGGGGACTCCTGGCCCCAGAGAACCACATGAGAAGCAGTACCCCTCTGCCTGTGTGTTCCATTGGTGCAGATGTGATGCTCTTGGGGTCTAGTGTTTTGTTTTTTCCTAAGAGGTCAAGTGAATATTGGGGCCAGTGAACCAACTTGTGTATAGACAGTGAGAAGCTCCGGTGAACTGTGTTCATTGTCAGTGAGGCTGCAAGAAGCTGTGCACAAGCTGTAGTACAAGATTTGAGCAGACATTTTAAATTTTCTGATATTATGCCTCACAGCTCCCTGAACCAAGGCCGTCATATACAGGCTGGACAGAGCTCATTTGGTAAAGCCCATGCCTTGTAGTCACAAGAACCCAGGTCCTATTCCCTAGACTCCACCTGGGTGTGATGCCATTAGCTGGAGACAGGTGGATGCCCGCAAGGCCACTGGGCAGCTGGCCTGGTCTACTTACAAAGCTCTAGGCAGGCCAGAAAGAGACCCCATTGCCAACCCATAAACAAATAAAAATAGCTGAAGATGTCTTCTGGCCTCCACAGGCCACACCATGCACATGCATCCCACACACGAACACACACAAAGCCATCGTAGTCACTGCTACTTGACACCATTCTCAACATAAGTGTCTGTTCTGAGATGACGCAAGCTCCCAGGACAGGGCTGGCTGAGATGGGCGGGTGGGGACAGAGACTCTCCAAAGAGCCTTACTGTGAGATCAGATCCTTACACCCCTCCCGCCACCACCTCTTCCTCCTCCTCCTCTCTCTCTGTCCCTGTCTATGTCTCTCTCTCTTTCTCTCTTGTGTGTGTCTCTCTCTGTCTCTGTCTCTCTCTCTCTCTGACAGGGTTTCATTATGTAGCCCAGGCTCTCCTAGAACTTGCTGTTTAGACAAGGCTAGCCTCAAACTCACAGAGATACTCCTTCCTCTGCCTCTGGAGTGACAAAATTAAAAAATGTGTATCATCATGTCCAAACCTCAAATATTCTTGATCAGATGTCCTTGTTAGCAAAAAATTGGAGTATAAACTCTCAGTAGAAGGCTGTTGAATAAGCTTTAGAAATGATGAAATATAGTCAAGTACACTGTTTATAAAGCACATAGAGAAGGGAATGTCTGAAGTAATGTTTTAAATATATGCCTTGGCCAGTTTGTGTTATGAGTTCCTCCAAGGGGCTTGGACCCCATCTTGATAACTGCTGTTAGATGGCACTCACAGATTCATCTCCAGTGGCTCCATGAGAGCCATCCTGACAGATGAAATGGGGCTCAGCAGCCAGCTCTGTCACAGAAGGGCATTCTCAGGGCTGGTAGCACCTGTGGTGAGAGGCTCCAGATGAGGAGTAAGAGTCAGACACACAAGACCTGGGGCTATGGCCACATTCTCATGTTCTTGGACTTGTCTTTACCATCCATCTAGAACTTTCTGTGAAAGATGGCAGTATTGGATAAGCTGTATAGTTGGGCTGAGGAAACAAGACAGGCTGCTTTCTTACGATGAGGTCCCTTCCAATGGCCAGCCAGTATGTTTCTGGAAGAAGAACCGCTAGAGATGAGTCTTGAGGGGTTAGAGCCTGCCTCTACTCCCTGTCCACTCAGCTTTCTGTTCCTTCAAGATGTGAGCAAGTTCAAAGTTCCAGCTGCCCGCTCCTGCTGCCTTCCCCTGCATGATGGGCTGTGTTCCCTCACTGAGCCACAGGCAATCTTTCCTTCCTAAAGTGACTTTTGTAACAGCAACAAGAAAGGCAACGAATTCACATCACACTCTAGAGAAAATCCAGAGAAGGACACAGGTAATATGGCTTGAATGTCTTGTGATTGTGGCTTGAAGTCTTGTAATTGGAGGTTTGGTCACTGGAGTGGAAGTACTGGAACATGGAGTGGACTGCTAAGAGGCAGGGCCACTTAGTCCATGGCCCTTAAGTCATCATCTGTGAAGGGATGCGCAGTGCCATCTCTCTCCCCAAGCTTCCTGCCTCACAGTGTGGCCTTCCCCTGCATGTGCTCCACCACCTAACATGGGGCCCCAGCAGACTACAGCCAGAGCCTGTGTAGGGACAGGATGGTCTTCAAGCCTATGTGCTAAAGGAGCTTCACATGAAGTTAGCTGCTTTGAGCACTACTGCAGCAGTGCAGGGGACCCAGAGAAGGCCACAGGTCCCAGGGGTCCCCAGGACATGCTATGATGAAACCATGGAAAGCCCAACATACATTTACCCAGAGAAGAGACGCTTAGATGAGTCACAGCGCTTGGCCTCAGGAGCCCTGTCCAGGCTGTTCCTGGAAGCAGAGGGGGAATGGCATACAGCTCCAGAATGGTTGCTGAACTGAATAATGAAAACAATTTGATACAAGAGGCACACTTTGATTTAAAGAACATGAATACATTTTCAACCACAGAGGTTAATGAAGAAAGGAGGTAGTGTTTTTTGGTTTTTTGTTTGTTTGTTTGTTTCTTTGTTTTAATCCAGAGTCTTCTATGTGCTAGACAGTGTTGAGGGCTTATCCACCCACTGCTGATGTCATGGCACTCACTACACTCCTATTGCCCCCTGAAAGGACCAGGCCTGACCCCCTCTTCCAAAGAGTCATCAGTCCCAGGAACTGGGCCATAGGTCACCAATTCCAGGAATAAGAAAACCATAAAATCCCCTACCCAAGGAATACCCTGGAGGTTACCACAAACATGGGAAGGTATCTTACCTCAGGGTGGGGCAACTGTGCTGGGCAGCCCACTGACCTAACATTCCTGAGGTCTATAGATAGCTCACTCAATGTTAGTTATGTTAGCTAGCCAATCACTTTGTAACACACTTGTCCTTGCTGAATACCATCCAATCATGTAACTGCTAAGCTGGGAATTCAGGTTCTTGTTCAAACCTCAACTAAAAACCCTGCCATGTAGCTGCTCGGGGCTCTCCTCTCCACTGCATTGGTGACGATGGAGAGACTGAGCTTAAGCCCAAATAAAGCTCTTTGCTCTTGTATATGTGGTCCTGTTCCTGGTGGTCTTTGGGGACCTTAAGATCTGGGCATAACATTTGGGGGCTTGTACAGGATCCCCAAAACCTCCTAGGACTCCTAGCACATGGAGCTGAACACCGGCCGGTAAGTGAATGCTCTGTGTCTCAGAGATATTAGTTTACGTTTTGTGTTTCCTTGTGTCTGTGTTCTTGTTTCTGATGTCTACTTTCTTGGTTTTGTTTTTCTTTGCAGAAGGAGTTGAAACTGGCCCTTGGGATTGGAGGATGAGCTGTAAATCCCCCAGCCCCAGGTATAAAAGATGTTCTTGCCAGCTGTTTGGGAGAACCTCAGTTCTCATTGGTTTTGGTTTTGGGGAGCCTGGAAGCTCTCAAATTGGTTCTTTGGTTCTGGATCCAGCAAATGGTACTGCCACAATTCCCTG